GCATGTCTGTTGATCTTCTTTCGCACCGGACGTAGCCAACCGTGCTAATCGGAGGCATTGACAACAATGCGCAGCATTTTCCCGTTGGTACGGCAAATTTAATTTTGTGGTAAGTGCTCAATTGTGCCCGAATGCTTAGGAAAGCAACTACGCATGACATTAAACTCTGCTTTGGCTAATGCCGTGAACGAGGCAGCTGCAATCTCACCAAATACGCTTCCACTCGCCTCCAATTAACATGAAATTACAAAGATCACTCGCTCGAAACCTCGCATCTGAAGTCCACAATATGAAGAGATAGCATCGGGTTTTCCGAGTGACGATTTGGCAATGCAATTGGGATTTGCGCAATGATGAAAGTTACGAGGGGGCATTGAAGTGCACCCCTGTAACTCCTTGCTTTCGACACTCCACTGGAGGAAGACTCAGAGAGCTCCGCTGCATGGGCATTGGCCTACTCTTCTGTGCCGGTAAGAAATCTTGGAATAGGCGGGGGTTCCCACACTTTATCCCACCACACTGATCGACTTACTGTGGTGTGCTCATTGATCCTGCCGGGTTGGGCAGAGGATTTAATAAACTTGCCGACCGTTTCAAACGTTGCGCCGGGAGATCGAATCGAACAGGCGATCTCCGGGTTGCAAGTCCCGGTGTACCGACCGTTACATAATGGCAGCATCCGATATGACAGTTGCTATTCATTGTTTTTTTAAATCAAAATTAATTTACTGAACAAATGATTCAGGTATACACAGAGGGCATGTATGGGAACTGACACCAGTATAGACACAATGTGAAGTACAATGGTTACTACCAACGTTTTATATGTTTGCCCTATGCCACGTGTTTAAAAAATCTCAACCTCCTTGGTATCTACTTCCTGAACTCAGATAACCCGCTAGGGGGAAGATGGGGTGGGGGGAGGGGAAGAAAATGGAGGGGGGGGGCAAAGGGGGGCGTGGGGGTGCCTAAATTCACGAATGAATTATCTTAAACTAAACTATTTTTTATTTTTCCAGGTAAGGCCCACTGAGGTATATAGCTAAACGAGGTGGCTTATCATTTGGACATTTATAGCAGATAAATAGATGTGGATTCTAAATGCAGAGGGAAAAACCGGAGAAAAATCCACGCGACCACGGGGAGAGAAAGACATGCAAACTCCAAATACACAGCAGCCGCCAGGGTCGGGGTCAAACCCACGACCTCCTGTATACGAGGCGAGGTAGTTAACATCTCGCCACTGTGGTGCCCATCTTAAAAATCAACGCCACTGGAGGAGAAGCTGTGAAGGGATTCCTGTTATGAATCTTAAAAAAAAATTGAGGCGGATGCTATTGTAATGAAAGATGGGTAAATGCGCTGAATGTTTGAATTCATTCCAGAAAATCAAGGCCATATTCTCTTTGCTCACCCCTTCTCGCAGAGGTACACAACATTAAACGATGCAAGTGGCAGGGTGTAACTTGGCAACAAGCCGAAGAGATCAGACAGCTACTGTTCGGCAACGGAAATCAGTATTAATGAAAATCAAAGTGTCTTTGTTTATTTCAGGAGGTGAACGTCCCACACAGAGAATAGGCAAACAGTGATTAATCGATTCTTCAACTAGATGTAATTACAGGCAACAACACACGAGTCATATTAAGTGCATACGTGCACAAATTATTTACGTCTTCTTTGGTTCTTTCGGTAAAGTCACGTAGAATGAGAATAAAATAATAAATTGATAAAATAAAATAACACAATAATATTCTCACGACGTTTCGGCCACAACACAAGCGGCCTTCATCTGAAGGCCGCTTGTGTTGTGGCCTTCATCTGAAGGCCGCTTGTGTTGTGGCCGAAACGTCGTGAGAATATTATTGTGTTATTGTGTTATTTTATTTTATCAATTTATTATTTTATTCTCATTCTACGTGACTTTACCGAAAGAACCAAAGAAGATGAATCATTGCAGTCACGAAAGCTTTAAATCGAAAATTATTTACGATTCGTGCAAATAATATTCAAACCCTGGTGTTAGTGCACTATTGCTCGTGAAAATAATGAACCGATTTTAATTCTCGATTACGGCTGGCATCAGTGACATCTGAATAGGTATTGCCCCTCGACGTTCCCCCCACTGCTTGACCAGTCAACACCGACCTTCATGGTGAAGTATGGTCAAACAACCCCCGGGACCAAAAATGGCTCGGGGAATATATGCGTCCAACAGTGGATTTTAAAAGGAAATAATTCATATTCTTAGTTCTTTCGGTAAAGTCACGTTCAAGGGAAACAACAAAATAATAAAATATATTATTATTGTTTTATATATATTTTATTATTTTGTTGTTTCCCTTCAACGTGACTTTACCGAAATAACTAAGAATATGATTTAATGCAGTCACGAAAGCTTTAAATCAAAATTTAAAGGAAATAATTCATTATAATTTTTTATGAAATTAACGATATGCTGATGTTACACGCAGGCTTAAATGCGTGAACAAAACTGTGTAGGCTCGAAAAAATGACAACCAATACAAATAAGAATGTGAAATCGAGACGAAAATAATTCAGTCACGAGTGTGTGGGGGGGGGGGTAAATCATTACATTCCTAATGGTTAGGTAAGCCTGTGGTGCCGAGTTGGTTTCCACTCCCACGTGATATATTCTCAGATCCCAAAGGGCCCCACGTGACTTCGTTTACGGTTACAGTATTATGTACGTCGAACTGTGACTGGCCTGTATTCTGCCATGTATGATGGACTTCTTTCCCACCATACGTAGCCAACTGTGCTAATCGGAGGTGTGGGTAACTACACACGCTGACATATTCCCTTTTTCCCCCACATCGCCCGCCGACGAATCGGAGGAGGAACAATTTGAAATGCTTTACGGAGAATTCCTGTTTAGCTTGGCTCGTAATTATGTTATTACATGTTCCATAATGGCACAGAAGCTGGGATGAGCTCGCCCAATTATGGGGACATAAACACTGTGTGCCCAGGAAACAAAACATTTTACCCGGTGGAGCTGAGATGATTCTGAAAGTACACACAAGTTTGTGCCAACTGCAGTATTATTTTTTGTTGAGCAAATATATAAAACGATAACAATCAGGCACAAGAATAGCAACGCTTGATAATAAAGTGCGTGTTTTGGAGGCAAAGCCTTTTTGTCTCTCTTCCCCCCCCCCCCCCCGCTGGTTAATCTGTAACCTGGTTACAGCCATCATTTGACCTCCTTTGCCAGTACCAAAATGTAATAATAGGGTTTTTCCCCTTTTTTCTGGCAACAAAACTGAAACCTTTTTACAAGGATTCATGTCTGCATTAACCACAATACCTGCAGTCAAAATGCAAACAAAAAACATACTATGATAATATATGCATTGTCCTTGAAACTGATTGGTCCACACCAAGGGACGGCTTTCTTTTGAGCCTCGACCCTTTTGGCGTCATCTGGTCGAGCACCAATTGGGTCGAGGCTCAAAAGAAAGCCGTTCCTTGGTGTGGACCAATCAGTTTCAAGGACAATGCATATATTATCATAGTATGTTTTTTGTTTGCAGTTTGACTGCAGGTATTGTGGTTAATGCAGACATGAATCCTTGTAAAAAGGTTTCAGTTTTGTTGCCAGAAAAAAGGGGAAAAACCCTATTGGTTACAGCCAATTAAGTCACAATAATGCATTCACAAAGCAGACCTAGAATATGCAGTCACATTCGAACTCAGGATCTCTGTTTCCATGGCAATCACTCCTCTGAGCACTACTTTCACTGCAATTAATCTGAAGATTTCACTCTGAGAAGCATGGCTAAGGGGAAAAAACTGTCACTTAATTTTCACAATTACATTGAAATACCAAGTAAGCGAGATTAAAAAAGGTAATGCATCTGAAGACTCTCATTAACCGTACGTGGTGTTCAATGGTTAGTCCACATGTGCTGGTATGAAAAAACAATCCAGGCAAGCCTGGATTTCCCTGAGGGTGCATGTCAGGTGTGTTCAATACAGCTAATGTGAATCGCATGGAAAACTACCAATCATTCATTTAACCGTATTGACCACACCTGACATTGGCCCTCTGGGAAAAAAAAAAACTGGGCGGCTCATTTTTGGGCACGTGTGAACTTAAAATTGAACCGCGACCATGAGATAAGGTGCACGGCCATCGGGCAAAGCCCCTGCAGCAAGGCCCGAATACCCAAGCGAATGAGACACGGGTCCCGTGGTGCGACAGGCTGTTGCACCATCTACACATGCCATTAAGAAAAAGCTTATGCCAATACAGGCATTATTCACCGAGTATAGAAAGCTTTGCTCACGCTCGCCTAATAAAAGATGACAATGCCTTAAAGGCAAGTTATAGTGAGAAGCAATCTTCGCAGAATGCAAAAGCAAATCTTTTTTCGAAGCAGCATTTTTTAAAATGCGTGCGGTGCCTCCGTATTATCCGCTTACTCCGGCGCGCCATTACCTTAAACACTCCCACGATAGAACGTACGGAGAGCACATGGGCCAAAGCATGTACACAGCGACGTCAACTCTCTATCCGTTCATTTGAAATGCTCCGCACGCAGCGTCTCTGCCTCTTGCCTACTGTGCGCCACTCCAGCCTCCACGCTTACGGACGGCATGTTGAGGCCTCTCTTGAGCATCCTGTCAATTGGAAGGTATCAAAAGGCTATCCCTCGAAAAGAGATGTTAAGCTCAGCCACTGTCTGCACTGTGGTCATGGAAAGTTACAAGACCCCTTGGCATTTTGCACATGAATAGGCCATTCTCTATCTGCACCATGTCCTATTGAAGAGGGAATGCTAATTATTTGGATGCAAACATTTCCCATTGGCATCTTTGTATGCGAAGAGGCTTAGAGAGGAGCACACTTAACAAATGAACAAACAAACAATAAATGGGGTAAGGGTCGGGAGTTCAACATTGTGGGAATGTTTGAGCTGGCCAGCATTACACCACTGCAAGAGACGACTGCAAACAGTGACTACGCCACTTACTTGATGTAGTAGGGCACTTTGGTGGTGGAAACGGCCTTCTCCCAGGGAGTCTGGACAGATTCTGCAAAAACACACAGGTCCACGAGGGTCAACGACCGGGGATTAAATCTAGGAGGCACAAGCGGGCCCTTTAGCCAGACAAGCCATGGAGGGAAGCACCGTGTAATGGACAATACGATCACAAGGAAGCCCCCCCCCCCCCCCCCCCCCCCCCCCCCCCCCGAGTGTGACACATCAACGTCAGGATATCAACACATCAACGGAAAAGAGGGTAGAAAAAAAATTGTAAGTACACCCACAGGGTAAGACCTGGGAAGGGAGTGGTGTGGGGGCAGGTGGGTGGGTGGTGGAGGCATGGGCAAAATAGCGACTTCATACAGCTGACTAGGCCGAGACCTGTTGGCAGATATTTGGCGAACAGCAAAACCTCGCCGCCAATTGCAGGCAAAAATTGCTCATCACGTCGCGCAATATTGGGCAATCATGAAGCGGTGCAAAATAATCAAAATAGATAATTATTGTATTCAGGCGAGGTTTGTTTTGTGGCTTCTTGGTGTGAGCAGGTTTATGTCGGGCTATTAAATGACAGGCTCCGGGAAAGGCGACATGAAATCTCCGTAGGACCTTGAGGTGCAAGCCTGTGATGTTAATTGTGTGCAATTCAGCGGTACCTGAGGGGCCCTATTTTCATAAAATACTGCACAGCTTAGGAAGGCAGATTGCTCATCATCCTCCCCTAGCCACCCACATTCCAGAGGATACATTACTATCCCACCAGCCTCCCACCACCTCACCTTCACTCCCTCACCACCACCACCACCACCGCACAATCACTGCCCATCATCACCAGCATATTATTGCCGGCTTGCCACCTCCCTTCCCAGCCCTACCATAATGCTCCCCTTTCTATCAAGGGGAATAAACCGCCACGTGAAGTCCGGTTATCTTCGCAGCAGCGGCTGCTCGAACAAAGATGGTCACGGCATTGTGCAGCGCTTTCAGACGCGCTTCTGCGGCCGTCCGGAATGCTCTTCCTTCTGACATTAGGAAGTCACTGGAGCAATGTACTTTTAAATCTAGATGGAAAACTAATTTCTTTAGAACTGATTTTTGTGTTAGTTTGTTGTCCTTACCCCGAACTTCCAATTAGCATGTTTCGCCAAATAAAGTACAGTATATCTTTATGCACTAAAAATGATGGTTGTTGTTTAATGAAACTAAAAACCATTCAACTAAACTATTTTTATTTTTGATTTAAAGAATTCGTGACTGCAGTAATTCTTATTCTTAGCTCTTTCGGTAAAGTCACGTTGAAGGGAAACAATAAGATAATAAAATATATATATAAAACAATAAAAATTCTCACGACGTTTCGACCAAAACACAAACGGTCATCATCGGATGTTTCTTGCCGTTGGTTTTCACACCTGATGATGACCGTTTGTGTTATGATCGAAACGTCGTGAGAACTTTAATTGTTTTATATATATTTTATGATTTTATTGTTTCCCTTCAACGTGACCGAAAGAGCTAAGAATATTTTTATTTTACCAGGTAAGGCTCACTTCAGCTATACAGCTCTTTTTCAGAAGTGACCTGGCCACAAATGACAGCTCAACAAAGACACTCATCGTGTAAAAAATTTTAGCAGCCAAATACTCTAAACGCATGTTCTCCCCGACAACGGGGAGAACATGAAAACTCAGGGTTGGGATCGAATCCACTGCGGCATCATTAAGCGAAGACCTACGGGGGAACACCAATCAGCTTAACCAGCCAGCAAAGAGAGCACACAGATGACCACCACAGAACCGAAGAAACAAATCAAATCTACAGATTAATTTACAAATGTTGTATCTTAAAAGAGGGACAACTGCATTGCAGGAATGCTTCATTTTACAAAAACGCCATCGGATAGCATGCACGGCGTGTCTCCACAAGCTGAGCAGGGTCACTACAGATAGGGCAGATGACACATTAAAGAGGCATTGAATCACAAATGACACCACATGGTAATGAACAAAGGTCAGGGATAATTGACAAATTACAAATGGAGTGCATTTGGGGCCATTATAGCCCCACCATTACTCGGAACCCTACGAAGCATATATTAGCTATTTCGGAAAAAAAGATTGGATTGAAGGAGGACCCACACAAATGCTCATTCCACCATTCGCACAGTATATTTCTCTACAATGGCTATACTTGATCATCCCGAGACTGAGCAGGGACCGAGCTCACCAACAGTAGATCATTCCAGTCGCTACCATTATCATTACGGTTCACGCATAACAAGCTTGGTGCAGATCCAACGATAAACGGCCAGCTTAGACGCAGGACGGATTCGCAGACACACGCATTCTCGTGATACCTGCATTGTGCTGCGGTGTGAGCCTCTCATTACATGAGCTGGGAATGGCTATGGGGGGGGGGGGGAAGCCTCTCTAAACTAAACTATTTTTTTTATTTTACCAGCTCTTTTTCAGAAGCGACCTGACCACAAATGATAGCTCAACCAAGTGGCTTATGTGCAGATGGAGAGCAGCCAAATACTGTAAAAGCGCATTTCTAAATGTGGAGGGAAAACCCGGAGGCCCGGAGAAAAATCCACGTGACCACGGGAGAGAGAGAGAGACACGTGAACTCCAAATATACAGCGGGCGTCAGGATCGGGATCGAACCCACGACGTCCTGGATACCAGGCGAGGTAGTTAACATCTCCTAGCCGCAGCGGCACCCTCACCTGACAGGACCCTCTGCGTCGTGGTCTCGGTCTGCGTTCCTTCGATAAGCAGTTTGAGTCTCTCCTCTATGGAGATCTGAAAACAAAAACACGGCAACAGCAATCATTGCAGCGCACGCACGCACGCACGGGCGCGCAAATGAAGCTCTCCTTTAGCGAGTGAGGGCTGCAGCAAACTCACAACGGCTGGGCCCTGCTACTAACAAAAGCCATGGGGTCACTCTCTAATAACGTGGAATAGAACGAAGACGCACAGGCGGGTTGCACCCGCTGTCAGTGCGGTTTTTTTTACGACCGCCGCTTCTCGTGCTGAAACAACACAATTGCATTTCGTTAGCACGGAATAAGAAGAGATAAAAAATAAACGCTCGCTGCTGTGTGTTTTTTTGGCCGTGGATAACAGCAGGGCAAGGTTTCCGCGTTTTAGCATAAAAATAATGATTGTATCCCACGCGTGGCTTCTGTTCAGTTGCCGACACGCGTGCACAGGCACGCGTGGACAGTGAGGGAAAAAAAGTATTTGAACCCCTGCTGATTTTGTACGTTTGCCCACTGACAAATAAATTATCAGTCTATCATTTTAATGGTAGGTTTATTTGAACAGTGAGAGACAAAATTGATTTGCATTTTAATGAGGGAAATAAGTATTTGACCCTCTCAATCAGAAAGATTTCTGGCTCCCAGGTGTCTTTTATACAGGTAACAAGCTGAGATTAGGAGCACACTCTTAAATGGAGTGCTCCTAATCTCAGCTTGTTACCTGTATAAAAGACACCTGTCCACAGAAGCAATCAATCAGATTCCAAACTCTCCACCATGGCCAAGACCAAAGAGCTCTCCAAGGATGTCAGGGACAAGATTGTAGACCTACACAAGGCTGGAATGGGCTACAAGGCCATTGCCAAGCAGCTTGGTGAGAAGGTGACAACAGTTGGTGCGATTATTGGCAAATAGAAGAAACACAAAAGAACTGTCAATCTGCCTCGGCCTGGGGCTCCATGCAAGATCTCACCTCGTGGAGTTGCAATGATCATGAGAACGGTGAGGAATCAGCCCAGAACTACACGGGAGGATCTTGTCAATGATCTCAAGGCAGCTGGGACCATAGTCACCAAGAAAACAATTGATGACACACTACGCCGTGAAGGACTGAAATCATGCAGCGCCCACAAGGTTTCCCGTGCTCAAGAAAGCGCATATACATGCCCGTCTGAAGTCTGCCACTGAACATCTAAATGATTCAGAGGACAACTGGGTGAAAGTGGTGTGGTCAGATGAGACCAAAATGGAGCTCTTTGGCATCAACTCAACTCGCCGTGTTTGGAGGAGGAGGACTGCTGCCTATGACCCCAAGAACACCATCCCCACCGTCAAACATGGAGGTGGAAACATTATGCTTTGGGGGTGTTTTTCTGCTAAGGGGACAGGACAACTTCACCGCATCAAAGGAACGATGGACGGGGCCATGTACCATCAAATCTTGGGTGAGAACCTCCTTCCCTCAGCCAGGGCATTGAAAATGGGTTGTGGATGGGTATTCCAGCATGACAATGACCCAAAACACACGGCCAAGGCAACAAAGGAGTGGCTCAAGAAGAAGCACATTAAGGTCCTGGAGTGGCCTAGCCAGTCTCCAGACCTTAATCCCATAGAAAATCTGTGGAGGGAGCTGAAGGTTCGAGTTGCCAAACGTCAGCCTCGAAACCTTAATGACTTGGAGAAGATCTGCAAAGAGGAGTGGGACAAAATCCCTCCTGAGATGTGTGCAAACCTGGTGGCCAACTACAAGAAACGTCTGACCTCTGTGATTGCTAACAAGAGTTTTGCCACCAAGTACTAAGTCATGTTTTGCAGAGGGGTCAAATACTTATTTCCCTCATGAAAATGCAAATCAATTTATTACATTGTTGACATGCGTTTTTTCTGGATTTCCTTATTGTTATTCTCTCTCTCACTGTTCAAATAAACCTACCATTAAAATTATAGACTGATAATTTTTTTGTCAGTGGACAAACGTACAAAATCAGCAAGGGATCAAATACTTTTTTCCCTCACTGTATAAATGGGACTGAATAAGAATAAGAGCAATGTAGGAACTATGGGGAGAGACTCACTTGGCAGAAACGTTATGCTGATTACTTTATTTTTTCAATACATTAATAGTGCAATTATCCTATTATATGGCCATGACATGAGTATAGGGTTTCAGGAGTTTCAAAAGAAGCCTAGCATTAGGACATTAGTTGTCATTCAAAATATATTTTTGACCATGGGCGTATTCACAAAATAATTGGATAAAATAAAAGAATAATCTGCAGAGAGCAGAGATTAAACTCAGTGTGTGTGTTTGTGTGGTTAACATAAACCGCTCTGGACCTGGCAATGAGTTTGATTTCGGACCACGTCTAACATCATCGGCAAGTTATATCTGAACCTATTTTGGACCTCCCCCTTAGGTCAACTCAGCCTAAATGAGTACCTGGTATGGTGTGTAAACATCAACACTGGGGAGACAAAGGCCAGCAGCAATGGTGCTGCCTATACCACTCACTCCTGCACCCATCCCAGCCTTAATAGGTGCTCACCAACTGTACTTCCTCTCAATCTATAATGTTATACAACAGATCTGCCATTTGCATAAAATCCACTTGCCCTTTGTAAACGACTTTTGGCCTCAATGGGCTCGAAGCTGGTTATAAAGGTCATTTATCTATCTATCAGCAATCCTTTGAACTCATTTATCAATGCTAACACCAATGGCGCTGCTTCTAAACATGGCTGGTTGATGATGTGTGCAGGAATCAGGGGCGGAGCCAGGGGGGTGACAGGGGGGGTGATATTCTGAGTGTAAGTGTACGACACTCGGTCTGGCGGACTCCGTGCAACTGCATTGTCAGAGTGTGTCGCCAACCGATGGCGTCTAGTTCAACAGCCTGACTCTCTAAATCATTCTTGAAATTAAAATTTGTTGAATGACACCCCGGCCTGAAATCCTGGCTCCGCCCCTGGCAGGAATGATCGTCATAATCCCCATTAAATTCCAGTGCCTCAGCCGATCGGCACGTGGTGGAGTTAAGTGTCGGTCTCTCCGACCTCTTTCAAGAGGTCTGGCCAACGTGGAAGAGTAGGCCAAATTACTCACGAGAGGGCGCTCTCTTGAGCTCCCCCTAGTGGAGGCTGATCCCACCAGCAGCAGCGGCGTGAGAAAGCGATGGCGGCGCTGGACGTTTTACCTTCACCTCGCAAATGATCGTCGTTATCATTATTATTACGTTTCCAAATTATAAGGCCACTATTACGTCGCACCCATTGCACGAAAAGTGCTCGCCACGAATGAATGACAACACCTCGCTGATCTCGTCAAGGAGCATAACCCGTCACAGGAGCTGTGGTCAACCTCGCAGCAAGCAGCAGCGGCTTTTGGCTACCCGTTGAACAAAGGCGGCAACCGCGTCGCGCGCTTTCAGATGCGCTTCTGCGGCCGTCTGGAACGCTCTTCCTTCCGATATTAAAAAAGCCACCGGGGATATGCACTTTTAAATTTAGATTGAAAACTCATTTCTTTAGAACTGCTTTTTGTGTTTACCTTGTTGTCCTTCCCCGGCACCGCCGATGAGCACGGTTAGCTCCGTACGGTGCGAAAGAGGGTTCTCAAAAAACACGCACATACAAGCATGCAAATCCAGGGGCGTTTGACGCGAGCGAACAACACTCGCCTGCAGGCGTTTCCACCGGATGTTGACGTCTTCGATGCGGTGCAGGTTGGCGGGCGAGAGCTGGATGTCGAGCGGCGGAAACCGGCGTGATAAGTCGTTCACCTGCCGCACCTCCTCCTGCAGTGGAGCGATCTCCGCCCGGAACGCCTGCCGGAAAATGGAGGCGGATGGGCAAAGTGCTCATTTGATCAGACGAAAATCACCGCCTCCCGGGGTGCAGCCACAGTTTGCAAGTATGGGAGGTGGAATGGGGGGCGGGGGGGGGTCTGACTAGCGAATGGTTGCCCCTTGGTTATTGGTGGTTAACTAAACAGGCAGGATTTGCGAAGTTCACCACACCTCCACATTGTCACAGTTCCACTGCACTAATTTTTATTTATTTATTTTAGATCTACGCCAACACTGGATTACTGATTCACTTAAGAGCCTCCCGTGTTGTGCGCTACCGTGATGTGCACAATGCAGTTGGCATCGTCATCGTACACATTTGTCATCTTGTTCAATGGAGAAAGATGTGGCCGGAAACAATAGGAACAATTGATTTCCAAAATGACGCGGTTGGTATCTTTGCTGTATCTAAAATGTTGGTGGGCGTCTGGACACCTACGATATGCATAATTGCTGTCCTACTGCCACCACTGTGATCATCATTGCAATCACCACCTTCACTCACCTGCGATGATTAATCAATCGTGTTTAATACCGCCCTCTGCATGAACAACCACATCTCTTAAGAGCTCATCACATTTACAACCAATGGACAAATTATAAACATCCACTATTCACCAAATTCCACAGCATTCTCTAGAGCCGTCAAATGATGTGCTGTCTGTTTTTTTTAGTTTTACAAAGGCGGTGACGATGATGATGATGATACTACATTTTATATGAGCAACACGTCTTTTGCTTGTTGAGCGGGAGGTGGGATCTCGGTGTGGCTCCCGCCGCTAACGAGTGCCGACTGGTGCGGCACAATCCATAATTGTCTTTACTTTCAGGCAGCATTTTCCAATTAGCACCTTTTTGTTGGCAAGTGAAATATGAACGATAATTACATTTAGAGATGCAAGGCACAGGGTGCACCGGCTTAACGCGACAGGCAGAGGAAGAGGGTTGTTTGTGCCGTCCGCTGAAGTCGAGCCACACTTAAGGTGATGAATTGGACGGGACACCGGCTCACAATAGCTCCAGTGGGGAAAGACGGAGAGCTTAGAAAACTTTAGCTTTTCATGAACTTGTGCTTGGCTGGGTGGCCTGGTGGTCAGCTTGCACTCCCTCTGAGTACATACTTTGAAGGTTGGAGTCCAGGTTCTGCCCCGTGGTAATATTCTGGGCGAAGATTGTCATGGAAGTTGTCAATTCATGTCTGCCAGCTTTCGCCAGGCGTCACAGATTGCAGGACATGGCTCGCAAGACTTTGTCATTTTGCGTCAGCGTTGTGGCCACGTTTATAGAACTTGACTGTAATTTAAAAATTATCACGCTGTCTTTTTCCTTAATGCATACCAAAGCTGAATTACTGCCATGCCAAACTAGAAGGATTCGTTCTACAAAAAAAAAAAACTTCACATGGCTTGTATAGGATGATGACTTTTCTAATTAAATGTCTGCATGAATGTTGGTACCAATCTGAAGTGTATTTGACTGTGGTGGATGATGTTAAATTTCGTAAAGGCTGTCTCATTAAAGTGCCGGTCCATAACGCGCTGAGCCTTAGGCTCTCCCAGAGAATCCTATTAAAAAAAACTCGTGAATGGATGTTGGTTACTGCACTTGGCAGAGTAAGAAAAGTGAAGTAAATATGAAGCCAACGGGTAGGTCAGCAAGTAAGAACATTACCAGGCATGTGACGAGCTAGGGGATACGTGATGCATATTTATACGTATGTATGTTGAACTTCTTTCGCACTGTAAGTAGCCAACCGTGTTAATCGGAGGTGTGTGGAATAGACCACGTGGCAGTTTTATGGAAAAAATCTTACCATTAACCCCCAACCTCCCGACACGATTGTCACGTTTCCAACGAAAAAATATGTGCCGACGAATTGTTCGAATTCTAACCAATGGCGCTCCTCACGGGTGGCCTAAGACCGTTCGTGACTGAATTTACCAACAACGTGCGACGACAATTCGAGCGAAGGGACAAACTCCGTTTCTAATTCAGCTGCAGGCACCCAACTTGCCCAGCCGACCCCTCAAGGTGCAGATCCAGCTTATACATCCTCTAGGGTACCGCGGTGGCGAGATGTTAACTACATCGCCTGGTAGACAGGAGGTCGTGGGTTCAATACCCAACTCTGATGCCTGCTGTATATTTTGGAGTTTGCGTGTCCCTCTCTCCCTGTGGTCCAGTGGATTTTTCTACGGGCCCTTCAGTTTGTCCCTCCACAACAGATCTTTCATAAAATCCATGTGCATTTAACAGTATTTGGCTGCTATAAATTTGCACGTGATCAGCCACGTGATTGAGCTATCATTGGGTAAAATAAAAAAAAATAGGTTAGTTTATAGTTTTTATAGTTTTATCATCATCTGAAGGCCAGGGCACGCACTTCGCAACGCACAGGACCTAACGTTGCAGGCAACCGGTTGGCGTTCCGCCAACATTCCCTCCTCCCCCCGCCCCCCTCGCCTCTCACCTGCACCGCGGCGACCTGCTCGGGAACGGACGTGACCAGCAGCTGGTCGACCGGCGGCCAGGAGTCGCGCAGCATCTCGGCCTGGCGCAGGCGAACCACTGTGCCGTCGGCACCGTCCTGGAGCTCGGCCAGCCGCTCCAGCGCGTGCTCGAGGCGCCGCTGCCAGTCGTCGGAGAGGGCCCACAGTCGCTCCTGCTTCTGCTGCAGTTCCAGAGCCTGGCGGCGGACGGACCGCGCGAACGCGCGACCGGGCTCCTCCTGCGTAATGTCTGGCCGGCCGGAGTGACAGCGAGAATTGTTATTGTTAGTATTACATATACATTTTTTAAGACGATCATTGTTACCGCCATTGACGCCCAGCGTACGGCCCTTGCAGCTTGAAGGCTGCGTGACTGCATGCAAGGCGATACATTTCATGGCTCGCACAGTGCCAGGGGTGTTGTGCACTGGTGAACATTCAAGGGAAAAAAAACATCAACGGAACTATTTTTAGATGTGATCCTATTACCTCCACGACTGGTATTATCTGCAGAAGCTGTAAGGTCCGCAAATATTCCCAATATCGGAGACCCTATTATCCGCGATTATCTGCAATTTCTTCCCAAAGCTAAGTGGAGTGAAATTGTGGATAGCAGCTTCCATGATATATGGTTCCCCAAATCACTGCAAATAAGATGAATTTTGCTGTATTTGGTCATTTTAGCCGTTCATCCAATTTTGCCAACAAACGGGGGCCTAAATGGCCAACTCTTTACAAACAATAACGGCATTTTGACATCAAGACAAAAAAGCAAAAACCTCACGCACAGTATAATCATGGAGCGATATATATTTTAAATCATAAAGAGCTAAGACGTAAGTGCACCATGCAGGTGCCGCCTGTTTTTACCGGGGCAGATTTGTTTACTTCCCACGCAGGACGCCTTGCCACGAATTCAAATCTCACTGCGTTAAACCTTGCCGGAAACAGAAGCTGCTGTGCCTGGGCTGCCAGGATGAAATATTTGGCAAATGGGCAAGCCCACGCCAAGCTTCATGCAACGCTTGACGTTCCACGCAGCCAAGATTCATTCGCGTTAAATACACATCGCATGCAGCTGCTACTGGTCCGTGAATCGGCAGCCGAGGGCATGTGCTGCGCTGATCTATCACAGCGGCTTCCTTTTGTTTGGCAACAGACTGCGCCGCAAACATGGTATTTTTAATTAAAGACAAATGTCATTTCAAATTAAATAATGAAAGAAATCCACGCGCCTGCTAGGAACTTCATTTTGTGGGGGGGACAGACGTGCCAGTGGCAACATTATGGCCGAGCGTGCGTGGGCGTCGATACTGCCAATCCGGGAGGATTCGAGAGAGACAACGCCGGTGGTTTGGACAAAGCTCTGGATATGGTCCCAGACGGGATGGCAAACGTGGCGTCACGTGCAAGAAGGAACAGAGGGAGACCAGCGACGCGATGCCTCACAAAAAGGGCGACGCCTGTATGCTGCACTTCTTTCGCTCCGTACGTAGCCAACCGTGCTAATTGGAGTGAAGGAAGCCGTGCAGCATGGCGGAAGAGAGGAGCAGGTGGGAAAGGTCTAATTCGGACTCATCGTATCTCGAAGAAGATGGAAAGGGGATTAAAGATGATTCTGACATGACAGTACGCAATTTGTCACCATGAAGAAAGGTACACGGGTGTTTACTGTGTGTATACCTATGTAGATGTGTGGGTAGATATCATAACGTTTACATTAAGGTATGGAAACTCCCCTGCAATAAAAAAAGCCAGGGTAGCTTTTCTACCATTCACATATAAACTGGGAAGCAATAACGTGGCAAGTATTGCAGGAAATATAAAAATGAAAAAATTAATAATTTACAGCCCTTTGTCCAAGGCCTCCCCATATGACGTGCCAGTCTTGGCGTTTGTTTGACCATACTTCACCGTGCTCATTAGTGCGGGTTAGTGGAGTGGCAGGGCGGGGGTAGCGCGGTGTACGAACCACTACACCCTCTACTCAAGCCACATGGAATATCATCAATCACTCAACTAAGCCTAACCGCTCATATCAAGGACAGCGTGTACCGTGCATCCCATGCAAAAAAAAAAAACCCAAATCTTAAATGGCCGATTCATCCTGCGCGCTTTCGATATGACTTCAACGGTGGACAGAACATTTCTCAAACGTGCATAAGGGCTCGCGTGGGGGGAGGGCGGAGGGGGTGCGGGGATGGGGGGAGTGGAATAGGCTAACGGTTAGGGTTACGGTTAGGGTTACGGTTAGTACAGCCTTCCATCACCTGCGCATGCAATAGCAGTCATAAGCAAACGAAGCACGTCTCCAAAATGAAAATACTGAGCGTTCCATTTTTTTTTTCTCTTTTCACCCGTGGCTCTGCAGTATTAAGCCCGCCATCTAGTCCGGCTTAGCGTGCCGACGTTCTTCCCAAGCGTCCGGCTTCGTGGCTGGCAAGCGGCCAGCTGATCAAAAATCCAATAAGGCGCTGGTCGGAGCGAACGTTTGCGCTCAGGTGGCGGGGGCTGCTTGCGGCTCGCGAGTGATGAGCACACTCACCGCTCGGGTAAATACGTCGCGCGCACACACACACACACCACACGGCAACGCCGCCGCTTAGCCTACGTGACTTGGTAAAACGCAGGCGAACAAACTGCAGCGGCAGCAGCCGCAGAAGCAGCAGCAGCAGCAGCAGCAAACCGTTTACGAAAAATCATGCACAAGCATGCATTCTCTAATTCTTGCCAACATGTGTTTCCAAGTTTAATAATTAGCAGTAACGAAGCAGACGGGCATCTGTCAAGGACAAAATGGATTTGCATATTTGCATAAGGCCGTTGCTTGTTCTGGTTTGTGTCTCCAACTTTTGGGCAATACTTTGATCAACGGAGGCAATTTTCAAGAGGGTAAATATCTAATATCAATACAACTACATACAGAAGTTTTGTTAATTTCGGATCCGAGAGTTACCCTACCCCCTGTTACAAATAGACGGACGGACAGAGCTAATGCATCCATGCCTCCATTCTTAGTTAGTAAACGTAGGAATTTGAGATTGTTTCGTCTCTCCGTGCCCGACATTTCCATGACACGAGCTAAAAAAACAACACCAGACATCATGATGGTTGCGATGATCTCAATTCTCCCCGTAACCATCGGTCACAATTTAAATTTCCCCGCGTCAAGCGAGATTCCCGTCGGGTTGATGCGTAGAGGGGAGCCCGTAAATCTCGCTAAGTGCCTCCATGGCGGGCGCGTAAAGTGAGAATGACGTACTCGAAAAAAAAGTCTCGCGCAAACCGAAAGAACTAAATCCAGGAACCCTTACTTGAACGATGCAGCGGCGCATTGAGAACAAAAAGGTGTGCATACACTCCCCTTTAACAAAACATAATTTAGACAGTGCATACAAAGTTAGCAAAATACGCAAAACCCTGAGAATTTAGTGAAAGGGTTGTAAAATGTGTCTCGTCGAAAAAAAAATAAGTATTCCAAAAAGAGAGCATTGCAATGGATTAAAGTAGCGTTTTTTTTCCTTCACATGAACGCACAAGAGGGCTCAATTTTGTATGGAACGGCGTGGGCTTAGCTCATATTTCCAGCCGAGCCCTTGAAATTTCCCCGAATGTTTCAATCAATGCGTTAATCAATCACTGCCCATTGTTTAATACGGAGAGAGCACCTTGCAGCTCATTGTCTCTTTGGCAAATGAGAGATAGGTGCGTCAAAAACATACACACGCTCATTGTGGAAGCGGTTATTAATGCATGAAAATAAGGTGGCGGGTAATTTTCTAAATCGGCACTTTCGGTGTATATGACGTGGCCATAACAATGCCACCCCCCACCCCCCTTCCCGATATCTGAGAACGACGAAGCGAGGGCTTTGTTGGAGTACACCTTGAAGGCGACAGGACCCGCTTTTATTAATTCCCTGCAGAAATTACGAGAGTGGATTTTTGGAATGGAACGGGGCAGTTCCACGGGGAAAAGAAAATGTCCCAGTGGCGAGGAGCCCTGCTGGGTCAAGGTGCGTAAAAACGACACAGCCACCTAAAGCGGTACATTGGGCGGGCGCTCATCCATGCGTGCGGCTCAATAACCGCGGCTCAATAACCACGGCTCAATAACGACGGCTTGAAATGATGACGGCTTGGAATGACGACGACAACAAGTACCTCTCTGCTCGAGGAAAGGCTCGGTGGGAGCCTCGATAGGCTGCTCCGCCAGGAACATGTGAGCAGCTTCCAGCGCGTTGAAGATCGTCGGCTCATTCCCGGTCAGATCCCGGCGGAAGACCTGCAGGGAAGACCATCTCCGCTGAGGATCGATTGAGCGGAACTTTGCCTCAATAGCAAACATGTTTTTCTTCATGTTCTTTCACATAATTTAACTCTCTCCGATGTGTTCCAGATTTGTACAGCACCTTTCTGGACACAATGTCCGACGTTTCACTCCACGTCCTAGGAAGGTGAATTTTAATTCAGGGCGCTCCATCGTTTTTTGGTTTATCATGAAGCTCCCAGTGCGTGCAAATCCACTCTGTCTCTGCCAACTATAAACACTCATTAGAAGGTGCTGATGACTTCAGGAACGATTTCATAGTTGGCCAACCTGAGATTATAAAATGAATGCGGTGTGAATTGAGAAAATATATGAATTGTGTTTCAATAATGATAATTACGTTGAAAATTAAAACTTCAGCACTGATTTTCATAGTAAACAAAAGACACAAAACTGTTGTAATAATACATGCAGATTAAATCAAAACCATTATTAAATGAATCACCTAAATAACAATCGTGATGAGTATATTTTACAGCTATAATTTTAATGGGTAAACTCCATAATTTAAATCACATTCATATCGCAGATCCAAATTAATAACACTTTTAGTGTCAGATAATTAGAGCCATTGAGACGTAAACTGCATTATTTATTTAAGAAATGGCAGTCGACATATTCGGAGACTGCTGCATACAGAAGCCATCTGAAGTCTATAATAACTTCAAAATGGTTCTTGCCCTTTGCTTTGCCAATTCCTCACAGCGTCATTTGGGATATTTCACCCAGTAACAAGAGCGAAACTCATTGTTGTCGAGTTTATTCAATACCTCCTTGTGCGTTAAACCGGCTGAATTCAGCCTGAGTGCACATGCCACTGGAGGAAAGAGTACTAAGTGAAGAAACTCAATCAGAAAGTTTTAATTTAAAACAAACGTACATTTAAGGGAAATTACTTCTTCAGGAGTCATATTCACATCAGTGTAAAAAAAAATTCCCGCAATAAAAAAAATCTCCTCGGCTCAATTTTCGCAATCAGATGATGGGGGAGGATTAAAATCAAACGCCAGAAATAAACTGCTGGTCGTGCGTTACCCCCACGCTGGCAATCAAAGTCCAATTGAACTCAAACACTAGCCTGCGATTCTCTCCAGAGCCAACTTCGCATGGGCTATTTGGCAGGAATGGGTAGATGCAATGATCGCATGGGTGCTGTCAAAATTGTTGTATGATAAGAAACACGGTGTGTATTCTACAGGGGTTCCTCTGACAAGCACTTCCACCCTAAATTAGCTTAACCCCTCTGGGGAGCCCCTACAATCTATCTGGCGGACCGAGGCCCCTTGGTACTCGAATGCTGCACTGGCCTTAACCTATGGTAAGTTCCTGGCCTGGGTATAGTTTGGCTGAGTGTGGATACCGCTCACAAGGGGAAGAACAACGTGCATCGGCCCATTAATTTATACCTATTTTCACGTTCACGATGCGTGCAGAAAATCGTGTGTGTGTGTAAGAACTGATGTGTATAATCGTAATAGATTATTTTTTAATTTGAATATGTTGCAAGTAATGGGTTCACATCACCCCTGCAGGAAGCCACTACAGTTGCTGCCATTCGTCGGGGGAACGAGGAGGAGAGGGGGCAAGGCTGGGCGTTGGGGAGGGGGTGGGGGTATGAGTTATCCGAGATTTCCACCCCTATTGATCACCAATGCTGGTGGGAGATGGATGCCAAACACGTGTTGCGTGCGGATCGGCGGCAGCATGGATGAATTTGGGTTCCACAAGTTAATATAAATATGGAGGTGCAGTCCTGCGATTTCTTGCTCACGCCACTGCTAACAGAAGGCCCTCCACTAAAAGGGAGCTCTATAGAGTCTCGCTGGAGGGTATTTTGGGCGAACATTTTGTGCTGGCCGGACGCCTTGGAAGAGTTGGGAGGACCTACACTTGACCCCACCACACGCGAGCTGCTGGTTGACGGCAGTGCACACATATATACTGCCGCATGGACACAGCCAGATTTTGAGAAACTTGCCCCCAATGTTTTGACTGCCGTGCTGGAAGATCGAATTGTCCTGGCGCCCTCTGGGTCGCAAGCGCAGTGTGCTCACCGCCACGCCACGACAGCATCGAGTTCATGAACAGCTCTTGTGTGTGCACATACGTATGAATGTTGAACTTCTGTTTCCTCCGATTAGCGTGGCCAGCCGCGCTAATCGGAGGTGTGGATCCTCCTCCGTGCTCATTACCCTGTGGTTGTCCAGCTGCTGCTGCACTATGGCCACCTCTCCACCGATGGGCATCTCGCTCGCGAGCTCCGAGTCCTTGAGGTCCACCCAGGCGATGAGTTCCTCCAGCGAGAGACCGAGTCGCCCCCACTGCTCGGTATCCCGGTCCAGGCGAGCCCTGCTGAGCAGAAGTTGAACGTTTTGGCCATTTTCGTTGGAGAACATTTGCCTACTCTTGCGAACCACGCAGCACGTTAGAAAAATGCTTTAGATTATCACAACGTCCCACACACCCCCACCCGCCCCGCCAGAATTAGTGCACGACAGCTCGAATGAACCCGTTGGAATGGATCGACGGTAATATGTCCACAAACGTATTAAAATACACCGCGGGGGCTTGAAAGCACAACTCGGCGTGACGCCGCCGTAGCCTTGCGTGGGGATACGGCCTCCATCGCGGCTCCCCCGCGTAATCGTTTTCTGCCGAATGAGCGCTGCCCGACCCCGGGACCCCTCTCTGACCTCTGGCGAGGGCGAGACCCCCGTTGGCCCCCCCTCTACGAGAGCGCATTCCATAAGCGGGCCTCGCCGAGACCACTTTGAAGAATCAATGGGGGTTGATTGTGTTCCGTGTTGCAGCCGTTGGGGCATTCACACGGGGGCAGTGGAGCCGATTACGTTCGGCCCTTGAGGTCTACCGCAGGGGGGCAAAGAGACGGCTGTCGCTGATTATTTCATTACATTGGCATATCGATTTGTAGCAATGTTTTATTTCCTAAACCAAAATAAAAAAAAAAACCTATATATTTTTATTAGGCTATTTGGTAATTAACTGGTCGTAATAGAAAAAAAAAGCCGCATGGAATCGGCCTCAGAGCTAGGATTGGATGGAGGTGCTCACGAGACACACAGCGGCCAAGAGACACCGCCGCTCTTGTTGGTTTGTGTGTGTGTTAAAAAAAAAGAGTTTGGGAAGATTATTCAAAGTACATAATCGCTCCTATCTGAAATAAGGTGTCGAGATATTTTGCCATTAGTACCACACGCGCATTGCAGAGTGACACGGAATAAATAGCTTTTTTTTTGCCTCTCCCTTAAAAATTGTAAGCTGTAATAAATGAGCCTAAATTAATTTGATGATTGATTGGGTGCTCAAATACACTTGCTGAATTTGTATCAATCAATCAAGCAAATCATTAATTAAAGCCAAGACACGTGCTTGCTAAGATGCATCTATCCACTCCTGACATAACAATGCGTCTCCTCCAAAGAAAAAAAAAAACAGGGTGAGTTGTGATTTTTTTAAAATATTAATTTAGATGAGTGGCCTGGCCAATACGGTCACCAATGCAAAGGAGAAGCAATAAACGACTGATGGACGTGATGAAGGATGTATTTATACATTCAACGAAAAAACACTTCTCAACATTTAACTGGTTTAAATCCCAGCCGGCTGAGGTGTAAAGCCTCAATTGATTTTTTTATTTTTCAATCTCAGTTTCTGAGCACAGCTCCAAACAGCACGAGTGAAGGTGTAATAGGTAAGGAGTTCATGATAACCTTTTTCTGGGTTAGAGATCGTGTAAATGTAAATGTGTCGTACACCGACCTCCACCCGACAAAACCTATGAGTGAAGTTTATCATGTCAACAAAATGTGCCAACTTGTTACTTGTTCAGCACACCGGTCTGTGAGAGGGCAAACAATTCTGGCAATTGCCTGACGATGCTGGTTGTAATCACCAGCGAAACGTCATACTCAATTGTAAATGTGGAAATCAATGAGTGATGTTCATGGGAACGATGACCATAGCAGTAGCAATATCAGAGTGACAAGAAGGAAACTGACCACCGGTAAGCGTGTGTGAATGTAGTGAATCGGTGCTCGGCAGAACCGCCGTGTGTGCCGCTGGGGTTCGGTCACTGCGGGAATCCGCTTGCGGCGCCGTCACCTGATGGTGAGCGCCCTGCGTTTGAGGTCGGCCCAGCGGCGGTTCATGTTGTCCAGCCGGCGCTGGAGCTGGGCGGCTGGCTCCGTGCCCTGCAGGGAGGCCACCACTCGCGCGCCGCCATCGTCCAGCCCTCGCTGGACCTCCTGATGGGCGTCGATCTCTGCCTGCAGTTCCTGCGTGGCGCACACGTTCACGGGCGCAAAGACAGAGATTCGTCCGTTTAGATGCCAACCTCTTTTTCCACTGCACAAGTGAGTTGGGCCGTGCCAAGCCGGCGTGGCGTGGCTTAGGAGGCGCCAGGGATGTGTTTCCACTGAGGAACCCGTGGCCTGCCGGAGATGTCACTCGCAACAAATGAGTCGTGTCACATGTAGTCGACGCAGCGATGCTGCATCTTCAGTTTCCTGACTGACATCGCACACAATGAATGAGTCAAAACGCGTGCGGATGACGGGGCGGCGATGTGTTTGAGTTGTACTAATTGACATCAAACGCAACCAAGCCTCTCATTAGCCCCCATGCCTGGCCTTGCTTGGCCCCAAGGCAGATTCAGATGTCTTGTAAGGCCAACATAGCATGGTTTGTTTCTGGCTCAGCATGGCAAATAGCCTCATGGCAGTCAATCCAATGTCTTTTGTTAATTCTCAGAACAGGAATCTAGACAAATTAAGTACAATAAATAACCTGATTTGTTGTGACTTAATTGGTCACTGGGCTGAAACCAACACCTCACTATAGTTGAGAACCCAGTTTAATTATGGGTAGCAGCCCAGAATCGAACTCAGCTCACAGCGGTGCAAGCCGAGCACCCGGCTTTCTCTGTCTGCAATTTACATGACAACCAATTGAGATAAGTGCCACCCCATTGCTCGGTGGTTACACTTACAATTGACTTTGATTGACCAGGCTACAGAGATTCTTCGTAAGGGAGACAGGGTTCCAAATAGGTCCATAACCAACGCTTTAAGAGAAGGACGTTCTACCTTCCACGTGTTTACATTCATGAACTTCAGGGATTGTCACTGCATGTCCTGGTGGGACACTTGACAGGCAGTTATGCATGCCAGGAGACACGCAACGTTGGGCCAATGATGGCACGTGGTTGGAACCACTTTGTGTCAACTGCGGGGTCCGACGTTCCGCATCTACCAGAAATCTCATCCACGTGCTTTTACGCTCTCTCAAGTGTAGCCGTGATTGAGCCACGATTTCATCCCATGCTTAAGTTGTGATAAACGTCTTATTGGAATTGCGCTTGTGTCAACAAAGGGTAAGCGAATGAGATAACCGAACGCCTTTCGCCCACAGCTGGATTCAAACAATTGTCCTCATGGCTGCTACAGCGCACCAGGTAGTGGCATTAAAACGACGGACAGTTGGACCAGCTGCTTTGTTTCACCAGTGCTGGCATTTGTTTGATGCTACGCATTGATCACTGAAGGTTGAGCTGATCTAGAGGAGACCCATTCTGCATATGGATATCGATTGAAAATAATAAATAATGGACTGCGCATTGGCAGTGGTGTTAAAGCACAAATAATAACCGCCATTATTAACACCGCCTTATAACAGCGTAAATAATGTAGAACCCTTCTTAACGAGGGTGATTGGTTCCACGAAACCAGTCGTTAAGTGATTTGGTCGTTAAGCGAGTATAGGAAATACACGTTAAAGGCTTAATTAATTCCAATAGCATCGAAAGTTACGCTTTTTCCACCCCAAAAAACGTACTTTATAATATTTAAACGATGGATATTAATACATAAAGATACTAACAACGTTACAAATACATAATATTAAAATAAACATGGTTAATCAGTGCATTAATTCATATTTACTGTGCCTACAACAGCCCGTCGTTGAAAAAGAAATGGTCGGTAAGCAAACACATTGGGCTCTATGGGGGCACCACACTACAATACACTACACTAGACACTACACTACTATACACTACACTATACACTACACTACAATACACTACACTAGATACTACACTACTATACACTACATTATACACTACACTACAATACACTACACTATACACTACACTACTATACACTACAATACACTACACTATACACTACACTAGATACTACACTACTATACACTACATTATACACTACACTACAATACACTACACTACAATACACTACAATACACTACACTACAATACACTACTATACACTACACTACTATACACTACACTATACACTACACTATACACTACACAACTATACACTACACTTTACATTACACATTGGGCTTCATAGAGGCACCACACTACAATACACTATACTATACACTACACTACTATATACTACACTACTATACACTACACTATACCCTACACTATACACTACACTATACACTACTCTATACACTACACTTTACATTACACATTGGGCTCTATGGAGGCACCACACTACTATACACTACACTATACACTACACTACTATACACTACAGTACTATACACTACACTATACACGACACTTTACATTACACATTGAGTTCTATGGAGGCACTACAGTACAATACACTACACTATACACTACACTTTACATTACACATTGGGCTCTATGGAGGCCCATCGTTAAGCGATTATTTGTTAGCAGGGGTGGTCGTGAAGAGGGGTTCGACTGTATATTCAGTCATAAGCTACTGTGTCAGGCGATGGCCCATTCTCAGAGTCATAAGCTAGTGTGTCAGGCGATGGCCCATTCTCAGAGTCATAAGCTAGTGTGTCAGGCAATGGCCCATGTTCAGTCATAAGCTAACGTGTCAGGCAATGGCCCATTTTCAGAGCTGTAAATGAATGCTGCTCCAATGCTCCTAAGGTGTTTTATTGATTTAAAGATACCAATGGACAGTTTATACTGGTAGGAACCTCCTGGTTACACCAGCCCACAGCGGATTATTGTGTCCGTCCGTCCATCGTGCATCCATAAATGGGAGGGGTGGGGCTGGGTGGAGAGGGGAGGGAGGGGCTGGGTGGGGAGGGAGGGGCTGGGTGGGGAGGGGAGGGTGGGGAGGGGCTGGGTGAGGAGGGTGGGGCTGGGTGGGGGGTGGGAGGGGTGGGGCTGGGTGGGGAGGGGCTGGTCACCCCGTGGTGCCCTTATAAAACTCAACGTTTAACCTACTCACGACGGCTTGTGCCCGCCCTCACAGTCGGGCATATTTGCGGAATACACCACGTGGTGCCGCCATTGACCCTGGCCATTGACCGAGCAACCCAACGTTCCTACCAGCTCCCTCCGCAGGAATGTGTTTCACACATAAATTGAACAAAGATGCACATAGAAAGACAAAGATGGCCCTTCTAGCTTCAACAAAAGTTTAGGGCAAGTGCTGTTAGCCAGCACCTATTAAAACACGAGGGAGTGGGTGGCCAGCACGACGCCCAGCCGCCTTTGTCTCCCGAGTGGCGATGTTTACGCACCGCACCAGGTACTCAATTGAGACTTAATCGACCTAGGGGAGGCACAGAACCGGTTCAGATAATCGTCACCGATGTTGGCCATGCGCGGGAATCGAACTCGGCTTGCTGGGTTCGTAACGTAGTGTGCTAACCACTACACCACTGCTCCACAGGCACACCCACGTACAACATACAACTTAAATATTTCTTAGACACATCTTCACCTCGGCATTCAGTTGGCGCTCACGGTAACAGTGTCCCGGATAGTATGAGGAACCAAGTCAAACATGTCATTTTAATTCTTCTTTAAATAGTATACAGTTTGTTTGTCTCTTCGCTGCGATTCCTAAATGTCATTGTAAGTTTTAATGCTAGCTAAGAGACATTTAGCCTGTGCGCTCTCTAGTTACCTGGGTTCAAAGTGGGCTAAGTTTTGCCCAATCCTGGGCAGCTGGCTCTATAACGTAATAAACGAACACGTGTCATGACCAGCTGGTTCCCAAGTCGTGCAACGCGCGCGCACACACAGACAGGCACACACAGGGGCACTTTGTGAGTCCGCGCCTTCCAGGCGCAATTTGAGCGCGATCGATATCACCGAAATCGACGACCTCACGCGGCGCAGACTGCCAGTAGCTGCCCTGCGACGCTTTCCAGCGACGTCTCCCGTCTGTAAAACGGAGCTTTTCATCTCCCGACAAGGAAGACCAATTCTATGATTTTCAAAGTCCCAGGGGATGCTGTGAAAGTTTATCTTTTTTTTAAGTTTAGGGTCCTCCCAGGACAGATTCCCATTACTTTTGCACTTTGTGTCTGAACTTACAGGCAGGTCCCAATTCGGAACTTCCCCTGCCCGCGTAACCTTTGACCTCATCAACTTGGGAAAGCTCACGCGTGCACTGCTACCTACTTAGGTGAACGTGCAAGACATATACAGAATGGCCCCGAAAGCCAGGGTGCAATAGGGTTGTTTCATTTATTTTAACACTGGTATTACACGAGTGATTATTCTTTAAGTTAATATTTCATTTTTTATCGTTGTTAATATACACGTTTTTTTTCTTCCTAGGGGGGGGGTCACTTCAAATCAGTAATTTATAAAACTCGACCAATAACCCTGAAAGTATTGAGACAACACATAAATCGATTAATGTTCAAAGATTACACGTGTAATCTTACAAAAAAGTACTAAATTCAGGGTCAAAATAGAATTCGTGCGTGCATTAATATTCATGGAAGTCAATTTGAACATTTGTTAAAGTAAATGAAATAACCCGATTTGATGTGTTAAAATAAATATGACCCTGTGTGTCCTGACTTTTGGGCCACCCTTTATATCAACACTCACAGCATTCCATCGCAAATAATTTCATTGGCAGCACAGCACCAAGTGAAGCTTCATGAAACCGAGTTTCATGCAGTCCCGTAGACAACAGTCCAGTCAAACTGGCATATGGCTCCGGGAAAAATAAATAAAACCATACCCAATTACTTGCACAGACCTTCAACAAGATCTGTTTCAAACACATCCATTACAAGGCACTCAAATAAACAACGATTATGGAGACCACAGATGTATAGAAAACACAATTCAGATACGTGTCTGAATATGTTACCATAAAAAGGTATAGCCATTTCAGCTTCAGTTAGTATAAGTTATGACGTGATTTTTTTCAACATGGCACTAAGTAAATATTTTGCTGACATTTAAAGAATCCCTAGCAGTTCTGAAATTAATCTCAAGAGGACAATTTTA